CTTTCTGACAGACACAGTTTTGTGCAAAACTCAGAGAAAACTATTGACATTTTTATTTATGTTCCTGCTCGTCTCTAAGGCAGAATGAGAAAAGTGTGAAATGCTTTGGGTTTAACCCCTTTCCTATAGAGCTTAACAAAGCATAAACCTCAGAACAATTGCTTTTCCTTCTGCTGACTCATTAGGTTGTTTTTAATCAGAATATTGCTTTATTAAACAATTACTTTGCAATCAGAGGAAAACTTGAAATTACTGAATAATTATTTAGTGTTGAGAAGATGAACTTCTCGCCCTGCACGAATCCAACCTTGCAGCTGCTTCCTGAGAGCAGGATGCACTTGGGCCAGAGTATAAACACCCAGTTTGAGGATGCACCAGTCTGTGGTCCTGCAGCCTAAACTGGGGTCCCAGTAGCTTTTAAATTTTAGAAACAAGAAGATGTGGAGCCTAAAACTGTAGAGGTCTTAAACCCGAGGTTCTAGAGAAGGAATGGGACTAAAATGACACTGATACTTGGGAGTTGGGTTGTTTGACTAAGCAGGTTTTAAGGCTGTGTCCTGGGGTGTACTGGGAATCCTGTTAGGGCATTTTGTGATGTGACCCATCGAGCTGTCTGCAGGCTGAGGGTGCAGATCTGGGGTGTGAGAAACAGCCTTGAGTTCTTTTACAATTCCCTTTGTTTAAAAATGAACCATTATTTACACAGCCCTCTCAGAATGTTTATTTGAGCAGGGAGGGAGGGATCTGTACCAAGCAGGTCAGGCTGGTGGGTGGAATTTCTGTAAATCTTGGCACAGAGCTGCAGTGTGAAGCAGCTTGTAACTGCTGAGACACACACCTGTCTCCTGGATGTGTTGGAGCAGACACTCAAGGTTAGTAGCCCTGATTTTTGTCTTCCCTGTCAACATCAGTTCTCATGAACAAGCTGCTCCAAGGTGGTTTTTTTTGGAAGTATTGCTGAATCCCGAGCCTGTACAACGAGGATTAGGTACTTTAGAATTCATTTCACATTGGACTTAAAAGCAAGGTCAGAGACTCTGCAGAGGGAAGGTAAAGTCACCACGGTGCTGACTCCAGGCAGGGGAGGAAATGTGCCCCGCTCAGAGCTCAGCTCCAGCAGTGCATCCCAGCCTGGCCATCAGCACATTCCCAGGGGAGCCTCGGGCTGCTCCACAGGGAATTGGGTTTGAAATGCAACCAAAGGCCTGCAGAGGGCTGGCCTGAGACTGGCCAGAGCCTTCCTGGGGCTTAGTTTGGCATTTAAACTTAAGCAGCTCTAAGTTACAGTGTGTCTTCACTGTAATTAATACTTTTCAAGTTAGTGACTAATAATTTTCTCAGCACTGTTTTCTCCTGGCCTGTGTTAACCAGGTTAAGCTGCAGCTCCTAACGTCAATTTGGGATTTCCAGCACCCTCCCTTCTACTTAAATATGCAGTTTTTATTACTTGGACTAATCCTCATGAATTTACATCAGGGTGATTTCATGTGCCCACAACCAAAATTAAAACACCTGAAAGGTGGAGTTTTAAAAAAAAAAAAATTAAAAATTAAAAAGCCTGGAGTCTATGGATGTGGTCCAGAATAATTTGTATTTGCATGATGTGTCTAACTCAAGAGTTATTGTGGCCATATCAGCTTGGGCTTAAAGCAATTGGGTTTATGATTGATGGAAAATAGAGATAAATTGCAGTCACTTCTTACGGTGCTGAGTTATCTGAAGTTACCACACAACAGGCTCCTGCTGCTGTTTGTGTCTCTGGGATAACAGTTAAGGGTTATTTTAAACCAAGGCTTGTACTGGGGTAGAGCAGAACATGTTCCTCCATGAATTCCAAAGGCTGAGTGTGTTTTTGCCTGGTTTCCTGAGGAGGCCAGGCAGTTAAACCGTGTGCTGTGGGACTGCATCGGGCACCCCCAGCTCATCCCAGCAACCTGGGACGGGCCATGTTTAAAAGGGTTGAGAATTCGGAATTTAAATTCATCCTAAACATTCAGCGAAAGCAGCCAAACCTTCAGGAGGAGGCTGCAAGTTGATAGAAAACCCCAAAATGAGCAGAAAATTTGGCTTGATTCTACTGCTCCTGAAAGAGTTCCTGTCTGTGATTGTTCGTTTGTTGTGCAGTTGTGCAAAAATAAGTGTTCGTGTACAGCTCTGAATTCGTCTGTTCTTTGATGTGTCTCCAAGGCCAGTGCAAATGCAGGATCCTAAATCTTCCTTTGATGCAGGAAAAAAGCTGTGGTTTAGTCAGTATTAAAATTAAATCACGGTGAATCGCGGGCCCGGGGTATTAATCACCGTTCTGAATGAACCAAAGAACAAAGTAGTTTTGTTTATGAGTGAAGTTTGTAGCTTTTCACCAGGAGAGCTTCCCCCTCAGCAGGGCTGGCAGCAGGGCTGGCATCAGGCCAGCCTGGCATCCTGCAGGGACACAGAGCACTGGGATAAGTCCGTAGTGATGGAGTTAATGGAAAAGAAATTCGTGAGTATAAAACAATGGTAGGGAAAATCCTCTTCCAAACCACTGCTGGGCCTGTCCCCGTGGCAGAATCTGCCTGCAGGGGTCCAGGACCACCCTCTGCCACCACCAGGCAGTCCTATTCCTGCTGCCCCCTTCCCACAGTGTTTACTAGTGTTGGATGAGTCAGGCTACAAAACTGATCCTCTTGGAACTTCCCAGCCGCTTCTCTCTGTGGACAAAATTAAGGATTTCCACCCAAAACCTGCCTGTTTCATAAGCAAGTCTTTATATATGGACTTTTCCTCCCAATCTTGTGTTGAGATCTTTGCTAAATATCCTCTGGGAATCCAAATGGGTTTATATAAAAGAGATACTTCCTCTCATCTCCACACTCTTTGATTTCTTTAAAAAAACTCTACAAGATAAGAGTTTGATTTAAAAAGTCTGACTCCTCATTAAAGTTGCTGAATGGGCTCTTCCCTGAGGTGTTTGTTCGTTTTTCTGTTTGTTTATTGTTATTCCAACCAAGTGCCCAGCACAGAGCTCAACCTGCTCTGGATTTCCTCTGGATCCCTTTAAAGACTGAAGTCCTGCTTCCTGCTTTCCCTTTTCCTGCTACCTGGGCAAGTTCAAATGCTGTTACCTGCTCCAGGTGATGCTCAGTAATTCAATACTTGAGTTAATTTAGTTTATACTTTTTGTTCTGTGGCTCCTGGAGATGTGATGGGAATGTGGGGACTGGGGGGGTCTTGTTGCCTGTGGCTGATGGTGGCTGGTGATGTCCAGGCCAGCTCTGTGGCTTCTCAGCTCACTGAAATTCATCCTGGTGTTGGTTTTCCTGCATGTCATTACAAGGTGATTTCATGCTTGAAAAATAACTGATTGTGTGAGAGTGTGTCTGTGGGCAATGGGCTTTGGGGCAGAGCCACCTCACTTCACATTACAGCATTAAATATGGCCAGTGTTAATGCCCACAGCAAAAGCACAGAGCCAATCATTTGGTGTGATTTCCCCACACTGTTTTCTTTTCCTGGCTTGGTTGCAGTTTCTATTGAAACTGCTCCTATTTCCTGCAAATTTGTCAATACAGTGTTTTATCAATCCAGGGGTTTCAACGCCGGAAGTCGAAATGTCTTAAAAATGCTTTTAACATCGTAATGTAACAACTTCACAGGGAAAAGGCTGGATAAACCTACGAGTGTTTTGTAAAAGTGTGGCAATAAACAAGCAAAACTTTTAATTTTGCCTGTCTGAGCAGAATAATGAGGATCATCTGGATCAGGCCTTTGACAGGAGCTCTTCAGTGAGACACTGAGGTGACCAGGAAATCACATTCCCACAGACCTTTTGGGGTTTTGGTTGGGCTCTCTGTTACCTTTTGCTCTAAGCACTGCTGGGAAGCCCCTGCTGGGAAGTGGAG